AAATCACTGTGTCAGACTAGCAGGTCACCCAAACCCCCAGCAGACTCTCCCAGGACATCCAGGGGCCACACAGTCACTTCCCAGCAGCAAGAGCAAAGGCAGATATCTCCAGATAAGGTTAATTCCTCTCTCCACAAGTATGATGACTCCTGCCCATTTTTATCACTCAAATTCAAAGTCATAATGCCAGTATTGGACAATGTTATTTCATTTGATATTATGCTGGGGTCAACTCATTCTGGTTCACAACAACTGATTTGTTAAATTCTTTGAAATCTTGTAAGCCAGTGGTTAAGCAAAGCCACTATATTGTTAAACTAACAATTATATAAATTAGATTAACTTGAAGATAATAAGCTTATCACTTTATAATTATTGTACTATTAACATGTTCTTGATCATATTTACTCCATTTGTATCCAGCTGGTAAAAATACTGTAGAACCATCCATCACTCCTTCTCCATGTAGGTCACCTTGGTAGCGTGAGGTCAACCAGGGTAAGAATGTTGACACCATGGAATTTAGCACACACTATGAATTGGGACATTGTCTTGTATTCTTTCATGTTGAGAAGGAGCTTTCTGCTGATCCAGCCTGTTACTAGCTGCTATGAGAGTATTTTGTAGCTTATGGCAACATTGGGTTAAATGGCAAATTAATTTGATATATAAAGTACATCTAGAGCTCATGAATCCGATGGGAAATTTTTCTAAAAAAATTAACTCTTCATAAAAATCTGTTTGTGTATGTCTGAATTTAATTTTAAATGCAAATTTATACAATGACATTTTAGTGCTTCCTCTGACATTTCATGTAAATTGTGGAAGTTGTATAAGAAACTAAAAGTAGATATTTTGATTTTATGTATTTAAATGTAAAATAAAAATATGTAATTTAAATTTCATTCATGTGAAAATAGTGTCCTTGTCTGTTTGCAGAATAATGTTAAAATTTAATTTCTGAGACTGCAGATATTTACTTTGTAATGTTGTAGGATTCATCCAGAGACTTGAAACTCTTTGGAGAATTCTAGCAAGTTCTTTTTTTTGATGGGGTTCAGGACATACTATGGCCAAACACAGCCCTTTGAATACCAAGTATTTTTAGCTGAAGGAACTCAAGAAATGGGAGCTGTGGAAAGGACTTGCTGACTTTCCCCTGAAGCAAATCATAAGACCAGTGTTAGTAAGATTTCCGTCACTATAATAAATACCTGAGATAATCAACATTAAAGAGGCAAGGTTTTTTTGGCTCATGTTTTCAGGGGTCCAGCTCATGACCAGTGGACAACACTATTCTGGGCCTGTGGTGAGGCAGCACATCATGGTGGGAGCACCAGGGGGAGAAGGAAAGGAGAGGAGGAAGAAAGGGAAGAGGAAGAAAAGGAGGAGAAGGAAGAGGAGCAAAACTGTGCACCTCAGGCAGGAAGCCAAAGAGAGGAAGAGACGGAGGCTGGGGTCCCACTGTCCTTCTGAGGGCCAACCCAGGGACCTGGAACCTCCCACGAGGCCCCACATCCTTACACTGTGCCACCTCCCAGCAGTGCTACTCTGCAGAACAGCTTTTCACATTCCTTTGGGGGACACCAGATCCAAAGTAGCAACCAGCATGAAGTGGGGCCCTCCCATGTCTGGAGGAAAGGAACACTGTAATCTCCAAAGATGGTGGGCACCAGAAGGGATCTGAAGAAGCAGGCCTTGGAAAGTCCCCCAAGTTCACCTCACTAATTCATCCCCTTTTGGTCTTGGCCCATGTCCATGCTTTGCTACTCCCCATCAAATCATGTATGAAAACAACCAGGGCAACTGTTTCTTCAGGTCTTTATTTCCTTAGGAAGTTTCTTATGTTTTGTAAAATTTATACTAAATTGTATGTATTTGTCTCATTAATCTATCTTTTGTTACACAGATCCAGAAAAGAAGCATAAAGGGTAGGAGGAAAAGGATACTATTCTCTCTGCAACCGAAGAGAATTCTTGCTGTGACAGGCCAGGGTGGTCAGCATCACCTGAGGAAAACGGAAGATAAGATATTGAGGGTGAAGGTGAGGGTTATTACCAAACTGATCTAGCAGGATTCTTGCTAAAACTGGATTTTACAAGAAAGTGTTCCTTTTTCAAGGGCCTAAAAGGTTAAGAGGCCGACCAGTTTGCCTAAACAAAGAAATCTTTCTCTGAAGTTACTTGAAATTTGTTTTATTAAGATACTTGCCCTTGACATACTTTTAGTTTTGTCCTACTCTCTTTGAAGATGTGATCCATTAATTTGCATGAGTGACTTAATCTGTGTGAGCCTCGGGAAGGCTCTTCTGTAGTAATTTATGCTTTAAATTGCTCTGAGTGGACAAAGGGTGTCTTAGAAGGTAGTATTCCTCTAATTACCAATCCTTTAAAAATAATCAAGCGTCTGAGGAACGAGAATTAAATCTCATTTCCTTTCAGGCCCCTTTATTAGCCAAGATGAGTGTTTTACATCTTAAGAGAGGAGCAGTGGGCTTGATGTGCTGGTGTATCAATGTAAGCCTCTCTCTGACATCAGTACTTCTACAGTTTTCCTTAATACAGAGAAGTATTGAATCAGGAAGTGAGGGGCTGCAAAGGAACTGTCTGATTTTAAAAGAAATTCACGTATTGGTCCGTACTTGAGGAAACTCGAGGTATCTCACTACAGATGCTTCTTGGCTCCCAAGGAGTCACCTCTAATCAAAGCAGTGTAAATTGCAGATATCCTAAGTTGAAATTCGATGAATACACCTATATCATAACTTAGCAACACGTACCTGGCTGCCACCTTTGTGATTGAGTGGCTGACTGCTGGCTTAAGAAAATGAAGTCTTACTCCACTGCATGTGTTCTGCTTTCTTATCGCGGTAACGTTGAAGAATTATAGGTGGAAACATCATAAATCCTGGACCTTCTCCATTCTGAGTTAGCCTCAAATTCATCACTTGAAGTAAATGCCCCTGGACCCACAGAAGGCTTAGTGCAGCGCTGTGCTCAGAAACCTGGCTCCCTTCTGGCGGGGGGTGGGGGGGGGTGCATCCCTTCTTTCCTTTGCCTCTGGGGTCTCAGCCCTTAGTCTTTCATGTCTTTCCATTGTCCTGGACAGCTCAGAGCCTGCTTTCGACTAAGGAAGATGAGAAGGGGAGGGCAGGAATGTGCCTTTTAGTAAGGTAACAGAAGGGTGACTTGAGGGAGAGGACAGTTTGCTGTCTACAAAAATCTATTATTAGTTGGGCAAGGTGACACACACCTGTAATCCCAGCTACTGGGAAGGCTGAGGCAGAGGACTGCAAATCTGAGACAAGCCTGGGCCCTGTCTCAAAACAAACAAATACAAAGGACTGAGAGTGTAGCTCAGTGGTACAGTGCTTGCCTAGCATGTTCCAGGTCAAGTCCTGGGTTCAATCCCAGTGCTTGAAAAGAAAAATCTATTATTGAAGTCTCCCTTTTGGGTTAAGATACTTCTGTAGAAATCTATTAATTATAGATAAGACTGATGCATTAGCCTATCAATGATAGCATGTTACACCTAGTACCATTTTGGCAGGACAATTCCACTACTTTGTATGGTGGTAACATGGCACCCACGCATACACAAACACATACACTCTACCGGCAGCTTTGGTCATCCAATCCTACTTAGCACATTGAAGCACAAACTATGCCCTTAATATATTTTTATTATGTGAAGAGGAAAAGCTGTAGTGTGTTGTGTGGGGAAATGAGAGATTTAGGCATGTGTACGGTCTGGATATTAAAACTTAGCAAGTGTCAAAAGGTTTAAAAAAAGATAAAAACATCGGATGTTCAGGATTTCCAGTTTCAGTTCTCATTCATTAATTTCATTTTTATCAAAAACAAAACAAAATGTGAAAGTGAAAAGGGTGAAATATATCCTGGTTTGGAAAATGCTTGTCTTAATTCTCTTTCAACTGCTCAGGTATGTCTTACTAAAATAACCACACCCTACCCCAAAACCCAAAAAACTGGCTGTTGTCTTCATGCAATGCTCAGATAGAACAATTTTTGCTTTATATTTCATTGAAACCAAAGGGCTTAAGAATTTTGATAGGCTAGGAATAAAACGACTCTTTAAATTCCCAGGTAATTTCAGCAAGGAAGCAAGGGGGTATTTACCAGAGGCCTGAGTGAAACATCTTAATGATTTTTCAGTTCTGGAGAAATGCTTGTCACTATCAGCCTGGGATATGTAATTGACTTACATAGTATAAGGAAGTTTAACAGCCCATGCCAAAGGCCTTAGCAGAAGTTTTTGTTTTTGTTTGGAGGGGTTATTTTCTTAAATTTGGATTGCCTGAGCAGGAGCAGTTCAAAAGCCCACAGCCCAGGAAATAATAATCGGATCCAAGAGATCCACTTAGGAGGAAAAAGTAATTTGCTTGGCACCTCCCGGATTGTCTAGGAGTTTAAGTAAAAAAAGAGAACTGTTCCCCAAGCCCATTCTGCGTTCAAACCCACCCCAGTCTCGCACTCAGGCTTCCCTGGCCGGGCAAAGCGGGGGCAGCCGCGCCTTCCCCAACCGCGCTGCGTCCCGCGGGGACACCTGAGGTCCCGGACGGCGGGCGGGTGTAG